GAGTTGGGAGTGAGAACGTGTTGTTCAGACACGTGACAATCATGGCACAAGTGCAGGATCAAGTGAAAAAATCCTTAGTTGCACAGACCCAGAGACCGGTCCATGACAATCAGCCATTTGGTGAACATCGGTCATGAGGGAAAAATGTGTAATCCCCAACAGATTACAGATAGTAGACTTTGTCTACTATGTCAAGCAAAATATGTAAGCCTGTATAATTTAACTTTCATCTACTTGTATAGAGTCGGCATGATCCCTGACAGTTTTACCAGGTACTAAAAGAAAGTACCGAGTAGGTACTAATAGAAAGTGGCTTATGTTTGTGGTATTCTCCAACTGTCTTTTTTTTTTTAATTAACATTTCTGAAAAGGGTGAAACTTATCTTTCATAAATGGTGGGCCATTTATATGGATACACCGTAATAACATGGGAATGGTTGGTGATATTAAAGTCCTGTTTGTGGCACATTAGTATACGTGAGGGGGCAAACTCCCCAAGATGGGTGGTGACCATGGTGACCATTTAGAAGTCGGCCATCTTGGATACAACTTTTGTTTTTCCAATAGGGAGAGGGCCATGTGACACATCAAACTTATTGGTAATGTCACAAGAAAAACAATGGTGTGCTTGGTTTCAACGTAACTTTATTCTTTGTTATGTTATTACGGTGTATCCATATAAATGGCCCACCCTGTACATCTTATTCCCCGTGAGGTTTTGGTAGGTTTTCTCCTGGTTCCTGTTTTTTCTGTCACCCTAAAGTGCTCACAGCTGTGGTGACATAATGGTGATTTCCAAATTCTAAACTCGCCGATGCTGAATCACTTTAAATGACATTAAAGTGACTCAGCAATAGACATTTAATAGGCATTTTATTTATTTCTATGTATATATATGATTTTTTACATAGCATGGCATTTGGAATTTTGCTTGGTTAGCTGCTTTTTAAGGTGTATTTTTATTTCTTTACTTTATCTAATTTTCACCCTATTGACCTACTTTGTTATGTCATTTTCTAGATCATTGAGACACTTTAGGCTATGATTAAATTTTTTTATAGCTTCTGTTTGATATTTCGGCTGCTGTAACACAAATGTATTACATTTGGGTTAAATAAAGTTATTTTATATTATTTAAATTGTCTTTTTTTCAGAAAATCTCTTCAAGTCACAAGTTTTATAATGAAAGTGCAGGTAAATGACCTTTGAAACAAACACACACCCGCCCCTCAGGGTCACCAATAAAGTTCAAAGCCCTGCCCTTGTCAAGTGAAAAATGATGTAAACAAAAATCTCAAGTGCAAATTTTAACAGCAGTGCTGCTTACCCAGGAACTCATATGTCACAATAAAGCAATAACAGGACCTCACGGGGGTAGTAGGGAGAGAGAGAGAGAGAGAGAGACAGTAGTGCCCTCCTCCCTACTTCTCTTATCGCGCCTTTCAGACATAAAACCGGGATGAGCACATGTACTAAACAAACCTCTCTAGCTCTGCTAAGCACGCGTTTAGCTCTGCAGTCTGAGTCACTGCAGTTTCCTGGTAAGCCTGCTGCGGTTTGGATATCTGTCCGTAGCTGTTTTCATTGGCGCTTTCCGACTAAAGCAGGTGAGAGATAGTGTCTTTGTTTTGAGTTTTGGTTGCCACGTGTATCTTTTTTTCTATTTTTAAAATCTAAAATCAGCTCTCGCTGAGATGGAAGAGTCTAGAACATGTTTTTATTAACGTGGTATAAAGCAGACATTAAGATTAAACTGTGTTGCTTCTGAGTATATCAGATTAGACTAGAGATGCCCGATAATCAGTACTGCAGGAAGCGTCTACTGCAGAGGCCGGATGCCACAAGCAATTTACATATGAACTTTTGACCTTTACGGTATTTTCAACAAACCAAGCTTCAGTTTTCACATCTTGTGAACTTGTACGGTTGGGTAATGAGTCTTAAAAAACCGAATTCAGTAACAATAATGTAAAAATGTAAATGGTTTTAGAAAAGTTGACATTCCAGATTCCAGAAATATTCCAAACATTAATTGGGAAAATGACAGGAAACCACCCGCTTCATTCATTTACAGTTCTAGATAATTGTAGATAGTTGTTCTCGGGACTTATTGGCTTAAAAGTCAAACAGTGTTTAGGAAAGAGACTTGGGCAAACACAATTAAAAGCCGTATACAGTGTTTTTTTTCTTTTTCAGTGGGTCTGACTCACTTAAAGAAATATCCGAACTTGGTGCTGGGTTTAAGTGAACTGTGTTGCTGCATGTGTTTTAAATTTCTTCAGTTATCTAAACATCTGGTCTTTGTTTTAGCTCTAACATATAGTAATAGTTGAAATACATACTTGATTTTAACTACATAGACATTAAAGCATAGACATTGTTCATATGGCTTTGCTTTGTTGTAGATTCCCAAAATTTAACAGAATACATTCTGAGACAGCAGCACTGAGGAGGCGAGAGTAAATGACCTGTCTGCAGCTTTCATTTCAAGTTCAACTTTAGCAGCAATGAACGTAATATCATAAAGTCACACAAAAGTGCAGCAACAGGATTGTAATATGATTTTTTAAAATCTACTATTGTTAATGTTGATGTAGAATAGGCATTTTTATATGGAAATTAAAAAAATAAGGATTTGTAACAAACCAAATTGCTTCAAATTTGGTTTTAAAAAATGACAAGATATGGTGATATTTGTTATGTAAAAACAAAACCGTTGCCTCAAGAGATGTAAAAGATTAGATTTTTATTAAGAAATGGTATTTACAGCAAAAATGTTCTTCAGTGTTGGGCATACAGGTGGAGACAACTGAAGGATGTCAGACAACGAAGATACGATCGAAATGGGGATAAACGGAGCTTCTAAAGGGTCCGGTTCAAGACAACAGTTGCACGGCGCAACAGTCAGTTTCCACAATATTCACTACAAGGTGAAACAGGGAGGTGGATGTTTTTGCCGAAAGAAGGCCACGACCAAAGACATCCTCATCGACCTCAAGTGAGTAGACTGGTGCATTTAAACTTCGAGGACAACAGACGTTTTATTTTTAAGCTAACAACAACAGGCTACTTGTCATTTTAAACACACTTCTAAAAAATGAGGGCAAAGCTTAGCTGCAATATCTCATCTTCATGCAGCCTAAAAGTACAACATTAGATTAAGACATTTTAAGACTTGATCAAAGTATTAGAAGCCAAATGTAACTAAGGATGGGTACCGGTATCTGGTGCCATGATGGCACCAGTTCTGACATAAACGGTAGTAACCAGACCGAAAAGCAGCGCACATTTCGGTGATTTTTTTCGGTGCTTTTTTTTTCCTGAGATGTGATACACTTCACATTCTAGCTAATCATTTTACGTTTCCAAGGATAGTAGGCGGGTCAAGGTACGTACGTTCTTTTAGAGCAGAGCTACAGATTAAAAATGCCCAAGGCGAAGCGGTCAAAAGTTTGGCTGTACTTCACAGCAAAATATGCAAACTCGGCAGCCTGCAGCAAGTGCTTTAAGCTGATACTGTGCAAAGAAGGTAACTCCTCGAATCTGATGAAACACCCGGCGACACATAGCGGGGTATTTTTAAAGCCGAGAAATGCACCGTACCTACTGCGGGTGTGGTGCCTGTTATCGGACCCGGAGTTAGCAACATCCCCCAAAAACACGAAGAGTACAGTCCTGGCCCCTAGCCCTGCCAGTGTAGCAGAAATGATGACGGATGATGATGGCAGCAGCAGCCGTTCTTCTCTGCGTGAGTAGCTTAATGTTGTTCGTGTGTAATTTACGTTGAGTAGGCTAACCACGTTATTACATTAATGCATGTAAGGTGAACTAGCAAACACCGTCGCAGTTACATGCGGCTGTCTTCTTGTTTGATGGCAGATACTCCCTTCACCCTGGCCAAGAAGGCTAAAATGACCAAAGAAAAATTGGAAAACAGCTAAACATGAGAGGTTTTTGGACAAAGTTTGTGTTATCCATTGTTTAAGCACCGGTTCGAGCACCGGCACCGTTGCAAAAGTACCGGTTTGGCACTGGTATCAGATAAAACCTAAACGATACCCATCCCTAAATGTAACAAAGGCAAATGAAGTCTGGGATTTAGATTTTTCCATGTATATCCCACAATCGGCTAATTATCTATTGGTTTTCAGAACTTTAAGCTTAATTTTGAAAGTTGTGTGGCTGAGGAATGTTTTGATAAAAGGGACGCTGTTCACACATTCATCTTAAAAAAATATTCATCTTTTTTACTGAGGACCTTTGAACACTCACAGGTGTGTTTTTCCCAAATTCTGGTTAATGGTATAACTTGGTTATGAATTGTCCTTGTGTGATGCTCAGTGGGCTATGATGTTACACCATCAGTGAAAGGCTATTGTTTCATCACGGTAAAGGCAAACAAACAAAAATACAGACTTCTTTTTTTAGATAGATTCAGAGGGACGTCCAGTGGATGTTCATAAAAGACACTGAGCAGGTGATGAGGACACATCATTAATGTTCGCAGAATTTTAGTTTCGGTGCAGGCAATGTTTTTTTTTTTTAAAAGCTGAACAAAGAAGCCCAAGTGAAAGATGCCGCTTACCTTCCTTTTTTCAAAATTGTGAGACAACAAATTTCGTAACTTTCCAATCCTGTGTAGTTATTCAGCCATCATAAAAAAATTAACAATGTATTTTAATTAATTTCTAAGTTCACTGCAGTTTTCACACTTTGCAAACCAATCCAATGGGTTCAGTTAGACGATTTTGCAGGCCCATGTTGGACCACGTCTCTACTAATAGAAACATGCAGTCAGGTATTTTAAAGATAAGATAAGATCAGCTTGGGTAATGCATTATTGTTAGAGCACATGTAACCTTGTCTTACATCACACGCTCTAACAATCAGCAGAGTAACATACAGCATGAATAAAAATCGGCAAAATGAGCCCTTTACCCAAGGATATACCACGCAGTCACGTGGTATATATGTGTAGAGGGTGGAAATGCTCAGGTTTTGTCAGGACTTGTGATAATGAAACAGCTTCAAGGAAAAACTGTGGATTTACAACTTGACTAACAGCCTTTTAAGTCATATCTTGTCACCTCACTGTTTCTGTAGTGATGCACTTTGCCTCTTAAAGTTTACCAACCAAACTGCAATAAGCTGGCTTGGATTTACTTTGTCTTACAAGAAATTCCTGTGATGCTACAATGCAAGGCATGCTTTAGCCCTCAGGTGACTGTAAGCATGAGCCCATACTGTGGTAAACTGGTAATGCACAGTCTGCATGTGCAGCTACTGTGTGTTTATTTGTCTACGTGCTGCCAGGAGCCCACCTGGGATGCAAACGTGACACGATCAAGGTTTGCTTGGTTCAAACACTCCCACATGTTGGGAGGCAAAGGAAGGAAGTTTGCTTTGTCGGGAGACTCAGGTTCCTAAGTTTGCCTCTGTGAAACACATACACATACTGTACATACAAAAGCCTGTGAGAAGACAATGACTCTGGGCTTAAACCAACAAACAGGCACGGGTACAGGATGCTGTACTGCCTCAGTTTGTTTGAAACTTTACTTGGCAAGAACGTTGAGGGTGTAAAGGTTACTGAATCAAAGATGCTAAGTATTAACACTTTATAACAGCCAGGATTAATAAATTTAAACTGAGAGTTACTTTAGCACTGAAGCAATGATTAGTAAGAAACTTCTCCAGGTTGTTGACAGTTAAGCTTCTTCAGGTCCTTAAAACAATGCCAGATGAGCCGTGCAGATGATGTTGGAGTTAAAGCTAATAAATGCCAAATAATGTAATAATAATAATTATAATAGTCAAATAATAGTTTCATTAATCTTCTGAGGTCTGAGTCTTTGAGTTTTTGAGAACAACTGAACTTCAGCGGTGTAAGGCCCTATTCACAAAATCTAGAGACCAGTTGCCTATTCCCCTGGTAACCTTTGGTCACTAGAAAAAAATGTTTATTCTCTGACCAATTGGTGAGTGGTTCCTGTCAGTCATTAGGTGAAATCTATCACAAATAGGTGCAGGGTTCTGACAGAAAACCACATCATGATTTGTATTCTAACAAACATTAATGTAGAAGAACTCCAAAAATAAATGAAAGTTGAATCAACGTTGCTGATATTTTCTCAGTGTCTGTTCAACTTTCATTTTGAAACAATTTTTTAGTCATAACTAGACACTGTGAAAATCCTGGCCGCCAAAAGTTATTCAACATTGAAATGTTTGTTAGCTTCGGTCGCTAACCATGCCACAGTCTCATGTTGACGATCGACAAAGACGTCACCTTGTTTGCAAATTGCGATTTGCTTATAGTGAAACTGTGAAAAGTGCAACCTGGAAATGGAGATCATTTACCTTCAAAAATTTGTTAAAGACCATAATTGCTATTCACATGTTTTTTTTTACAAATAGTTGGGTTTTTTTAAATCTTTGTAGGGTCAGGGTAAATGTAGGGTAATGGTAGAGTTAAATCTACTACACCAACACGTATCTGCAGACAAAGCTATGGATTATACTCTGTTATAAAAAAGATCAATGTGTTATTATATATGTAAGTTATGAAAGCTTTAATGGGTCAAAGTGTAGCAGGTGTGTTTGTGTGCGTGTGTGCAGATTTTAATGACTTGTACCTGTGGGATTTTATTGGACATGTGTAATCATTGACAAAGTTGAAGGTCTGTGCTTTCGTTTAACCTGTTTGCATGAGAATAAGGGCTGTATCCTGCTGTGACAGCTCATACTTGAGCGCATTAAAACTGACTTTACCATCATTTATGATTGTGCATTTATAATCAGGCCAGAAACTGACCTGTCTGGGTGTAATGGAAGCTAAATTATCAGCAACGCCATTGTCACGCGGAGAATACACGCAAGGTATTCTGAATTGTGATAAGATTTGGAAAGGAAAACCTAATAAACAAAGGACGAGAGGAAGATATAGAAAGAAGGTAAAGTTAACTAAGCAGGATTTCATCCACCTTTTGTAGTGGAGTCACTTGGATGAGAGATAATAATATTTATAACATTTATATAGCGCTTTTCGAGACCCTCAAAGCGCTTTTACAATTCCACTATTCATCCGCTCTCACATTCACACACTGGTGAGGCAGCTACAGTTGTAGCCACAGCTGCCCTGGGGCAGACTGACAGAAGCGAGGCTGCCATATCGTGCCATCGACCCCTCTGGCCAACACCAGTAGGCGAAGTGTCATTGGATTGATTAGCTAACAAGTCACCTTCTTCTTCAAGCTAATCCATCCATTCACTGTGTCCATTAGAGCAGCTCGGTAGAGCAGTGAACTTACTCTATCTGTGCATTTAATGTCAGACATACGTCAGTATGTGATAAAGAAGTGGAGTTTCAACAGTACACCCTCAGTTTTCTTTTCATTACTAGAATGTTTTTTTTACCCTACACCTAGTGTGTAAAAAAATAAGTCATTTGCAAAGTAGATAGTGAAAGAAAAAAAAGCAAGAATTTTTTTTGATCAATAAAAATTGATCAAATTACTCTGGTGTAGCGTGAGATGCTGTGAGCGAGGTCCTTCACAATTTTGAAAAGACACCCATTGGGCCGTGAGTGAGGCAGAAAGTATGTTTGCATGGGACAGGATACTAATGCTAAAAAGCAGTGAGACTTTTTGTAAGTTAAACAAATAGACACAAGAGTGCAGATTACATGTGAAGGACAAATATACTGTATTTAATTTTTCCCTTTACATTGCATTACATTTTTTGTTTTTGTTTTAATGTTCTTATGTGTTTTGAGTTACTAATGCTACGTTCACACTGCAGGCGAAAGTGCATTTATTTTTTTGATCCTATGCGACCCATATCCGATCATGGTATGACAGTGTGAACAGCACAAATCCAATATTTTCAAATCCGACCTGGGGCGCGGCGGCTTTGAGGGCTCACACTATAGCTGTGTTCTAGTGTGAACAAGCAGACAAAAAAATTGTATTTGATCAAAAAATTGGAATTCAGAGTGGCAAGTTTCTCATTTGCAGGAATCTAAACAACAACAGAGTCATGTTTTCTGCTGAATGAATGACAGGACAGATTCTGAGCAGGAGGAAGTCACCTCCCTGTGTTTCTCAGACTCACTTAAATGACTGAGTGACTAAAAATGAATTTTACTTTTCCAAAACAGTAAATTGCTGACTAATGCCCTGGCAGACACTTTACAGTGTGCCCATGTGGTTTTGGGTTTCAGATGCATGTGGTAAATTTCAATCCCCTTCACTATACTATAGCTATACCAGCAAGAGCAAAAAAAATAAACCCGCATTAGCCTGAAAGGCATGAAGGAGAGAAAGGCGACTATAAGACAGATACATATAAAACTGCTGTGTCATAGTTACAGCTTGAGATTTGCTTAGTGGCAGTTTAAAAAAAAAAGAGGAAGTCTTCATCCCTGTACATGTCAGGGAAAATGCAGAATAAGAATCACAGTGTTACGAAACATCCTCAACCAAACGGCCACTAAAGTTGTAACTTTGCTGGAAAAAGCCCTTTCAGTTCCTCAGAAATACAGCAGCATGACTTCTGTAGTATCACAAAAGTCACTCTAGAGAAAAGCAGAACTCAAACTGCTTCATCATTTCAGAAAAAAAAACCCTGTGAAAACTTTCAGGGAAAAGTAACCCTGGAAGTTACTTTTCAGAGCCTAACCTCTCACTGGGGTCAGACAGGTGTTTTGCAAACCTTTTGAACTGTTTGTTTCATTGAAGGAATTCCAGTGCTTTCCGAAAACAGCGACTCTGATCCTTAAAGTGATATTGGGGTCATTACTGTAATCCTAGGCTAAGCAGCACTGCGAAGATGAAGGTTGGTAGAGAGAAGAGAGGGTGAGTGAGTGGGATGGAGGTCTACAGAAAGTAAATATTTTATTGGGCGATTGGGTTCTTTTTTTATTGTTTTGTTTTTGCTGTTTGCTGTGTTTTTTTTCCTCTTATTTCCCTGAGATTTAGCTGTGGCATACTGCCTGGGATGACTATAATGACCCTGATATCACTGATGACCACAGAGTTTTTGCTTTCAGGATTTTTTGGTTGCCCCAATTCAGAAGAAGATTTTATTATTATTCCTACACAGTAAAAAATATGATCAACATTTAATCTTTATTAGTGATCCATTAAACTTTAGGAATGCAAATTTTCAAGAGCTGTATGCTTCATGCAAATGAAGCTTATTATTTTTATTGCTGATTAATTTCACAGTTACCACAGTGACTTCATTCAACCAAGAGTTCAAATTTAAAAAATAGCGAAAAATAAACATAATAAAGAAAAAAACTGGAAATTTAAAAATATAAGAAGCTGAAACCCTTGAATGTGTCCAAACGTTTCCCGGCTGCTGTTTATGAAATGAATTATTAAAACATTTTTCATGTGAAACTCACATCTACAGATTCACCGCTGATAATATTTTTGTCGCTCTCTCCCTCAGTGGGATCATGAAGCCAGGTCTCAACGCCATTATGGGAGCGACAGGAAGCGGGAAGTCATCGTGAGTGCTGCAAATGTGTTTGTGCAGGGAGAAATCGGGATGTTTTCCATTCATGTTTAGCAAAAATCTGAAGAAAACGTCTTTGTTTGTTAAGAGATGAACAACTGGTGGTCGATGCATCAGTGTAGAGGAAGTATTGTACACATTAACTGCTGGAAACCTAAATGTTTGTGTCTTTGCTGTACACAGAAAGATAAGGTCTTCTTCTATCCAGTACAGTTTGAATATATAAACAATTTTCCTGCCACATGGAAAAGACATTACAGGAAATAAAACAAGAAGGTTTTGCTATTTTTCCGTTCAAACTTCCCGTCTATATTTGTGCCAGCTGATTAGCAAAGACTGCCTATTCTTGCCTTTGCTAATTCAGATGGTGTGTAACAGGAAAGCAACCATCCTTATAGATGGTGTGAGCTGATGTCTGCATAAAGCCTCCTGACTGGGACTCAATTTGTGATTGAATGTTGCCTTTTTGTTTTAGGTTTCTTGATGTTCTGGCAGCTAGAAAGGACCCTGCAGGTCTGTCAGGAGAGGTCCTGATTGACGGAGCCCCTCAGCCCCCAAACTTTAAGTGTCTGTCTGGCTATGTGGTTCAGGTGGGTGAAGCAGGCAGGAAGTTCTACAGGATTTAGCAGAGTTTCCTGGACAGGGCAGGAAGAGATTTCCTGCAACAATAAAACCGGCTTCTTAGGCCAAGTCTGTTTGAGTTGCATAAAGTTAATTGTTTTAGAAATACTGAGGTCATAAGTCACATCTGTGGAAATTAAACTGAGTTAAAAAGATGTCCTTGAAACAAAAATGCATCTGGCAGCAGTAAATGTTTGGTCACTTTCAATGTGTTAGATTTTTTTTCTAAACAGTAGCTTCCTGTCTGCAGGATGACGTGGTGATGGGGACTCTGACGGTCAGAGAAAACTTCACCTTCTCTGCAGCCCTGCGTCTCCCATCAAGCATCAGCCATAGGGAGAAAAAGCAGAAAGTTGACAGACTGATCAAGGAGCTTGGACTGGGCCGAGTGGCCGACTCCAAGGTGAGAAGAAAGAAACTTCAATAAAAATAAAAAAAACCATTTAGTCAAGAAGTGGTACAAAAGAATAATAGAATGCATAAAAAATGACTCTAAAATATAGGAAGGATGAAAGTATCCAAAAGATTAAATAGCGCAAAGAAATGAGCAAAAAACAAAACAAAGACGCATGAGAAGAACTGGAAGATAGATTGAAAGGAAAAAGCCTGAAGTCTGATTGTAGTGTGTTTGTGCAGGTGGGCACTCAGCTGATTCGTGGGATTTCTGGTGGCGAGAGGAAGAGGACAAACATTGGGATGGAGCTGATTATTGACCCGCCTGTCCTCTTCCTGGATGAACCCACCACAGGCCTCGACGCCAGCACGGCCAACTCTGTGCTGCTGCTGCTCAAGAGGTGAAAACACACATATTTTTAGTGCTGATGCCATGAAGATGCCCATCTATATCATGCGGCCACACCTTGAACGTTAACACTGAGTCTGAAGTTATGTCCTTAAATCTATGAAGTAACTGGGCAAGCTAGCTCACAAACATCACTACTGTAAATAGTGATGATTTTGCAGGATACTGATTTTTAAAAATGGCCATTTTTCCAGATCTGCATCAGGAGTTTGGATGAACTGGGCGACGTTATCTATAACTGTATTTTCCAATGTAAAATGTTTTATTAGGGATTAAGTAAGAAGCAAGAAGGACTGATGTAATCATTGCATAGCTGAATTCTGGTTCAATTAGACAACATTCGCTGGGTGAAACATGGAGTCTGTGTTTTTCTGGAGACTGCTAGCTAGCGCTGATTGCTGTTTATTCTAGGAGCAGAGCAGAAGCAACTAGAAAAAGCATTTCCTAGCAAAAATGAAAACTGAAAATTTGAAGATTTTGCCTGAAATGCTTAAAAATGTTAAAAACCTTCAAACCTTAACTTGTTGAATGAGCTTAATTGCATTAGGTTATCAATTAGGTTGCCAGGTTGCCATCCTAAGTGTAAAAAACAACAGTACCAAAACTGAAAATGCTCTAGATAAAACCAAAAGTACAGTGAAAGGTTAGGGTAACCCTAACCAAAAACATGAGTGAGAAGACCAAAGGCTGCCCTAACATGGAAAGAAAGGCAGGCCAAAGGTAACTTCAGTTAGCAAATTGTCAATGTAGGGTGAAAGCCACAAGCTGCAGCCCTCTGCATCATATGTTAGTAGTAATAGTAGTATCACTAAATGAATAACTATAATAAATGAAAAAAAAAATCCATTGAATAAGTTTAACCTAAATAACAGTTTTTTACTGTTATTCCAGGATGGCAAACAATGGTCGCACCATAATCCTCTCCATCCACCAGCCTCGATACACCATCTACCGCCTCTTCGACAGCCTCACCCTGCTAGTCAACGGTCATCAGGTCCCCTTTAAATACTGCTTATTGAAAGACTTAAACATTTTCACTGAGCTAACTTCAAGCTACCTGTGGAGGAAACTGTGACTGACATGTTAATTCTTCTTCTCTCTGTTGTAAAACATGTCAGGTTTATCACGGCCCAGCACGGAGTGCACTGGAGTACTTCTCTGGCATTGGTAAGCACGCCTGATTAACTTTAACCCAACAAGATGCAACACGACAGAAAGGCAATGTTTGTGACTATGTTTTAAAACTGTTTCCTAGGATACATCTGTGAGCCCCACAACAACCCTGCTGACTTCTTCCTGGATGTCATCAACGGAGACTCGACCGCCGTCGTCCTCAACAGTGGGAAAACAGAAGGTGTGTAAGTTTGTTCTGGACAAAAAGACAGCAGTGGAGAAAAAAGATCCTCCGAGGTGTAAGCCATCGTGGTTATAACCTGACCTTGTTTGGAAAATCTCTTAATAATAATAATAATAATAACAATAATGATAATAACTAGAAACATTTGCATTTCCTGCAAAAATGCTGTGTGAATGCCTTGTAGTGGAATCGGAAAACAGCAGAAGAAGGAGAACAATCTTCTGAAAAGAGCTGAAGAAGCTAAAAATTGTGCTGAAAACAGCTAAAAAATCTGGAATTTGTGCTGAAAAGAGGTGAAAGACAAACATTGTGCTAAAAAGGGGTGAAGAAGCTGAAATTTGTACTGAAAAAGTTAAACTATCACCTGAAAGGAAATGTTGCTACAAGCTGGGCTTGAACCCAGGCCGCCTTGTCTCAAGGCAGTTAATCATCTCGCTGAGCCAAACCAGTTCTCAGTATACTGAGACGATATGGAGAAACTGAATAATCTGCTTAAATGAGCAGAAGAGGCTGTAATTTGTGATGAAAAGAGGTGAAAAAGCTTTTTCTTCTGAAAAGCTGTGAATCAGCAGAATTTCTGCAGAAAACAGCTGAAGAAACCGGAAACGTGGCTGAAAAGGGCTGAAACAACTCAAAATTCTGCTGAAAAGTGGTGAAGAAGTTGAAATTTGTGTTGAAAAAAATAAAAAATGTTTAACCGTTAATCGAAAAAAATGTTGCCATAAGCGGGATTTGAACCCCGGCCTCCTGCTCTGAGAACGGCTGCTCATCTCACTGAGCTAAAACAGAGGTACTCCTGCAAGCAAAATCAGTGACCACACTAATATCTCAAAAAGTATAGACGTTATGAGCACCAAAGCCGGCATTAGCAGAAACAGCAGAATAGTTTAAAATTTGAACAATGAAAATTGCACAAAAACTGTGGAAGTAGTTCCACGGCGAAGAACCACGGAGCAACTAGAATAAAGTATAAAGAATAAAAAGAAACAGGCATTCACACAATAATAACAACCATCATAGTCATGATGATTAGGTTACAGAAGAGAAACAACAACATCCAAACACATAGAAGACAAATATTCCTGAAACTTTTTGAGCACTGAGAAGTTTCTTTCATGTGGAAACCAAAACATACGTTTTAACCAGCTGTCCAGCATACAGTGGTTAGGTGAAAGTGGTTGACTTTATTCCCTTTTTTGTTCTCCAAAAAGGTATTACTAATGACTCAAAATACTTACAGAAATGTTTACTATAACTAAAAGTACATTGATTTTAAAATGTTATGAACTCAAATTATGGACAAGCTGCTAGCAGGATGAAGGTGCCCTCTTCTGTCCTACATACATTTTTAGATTCACTGGTCAACCAGGTGTGAAAGTGCTGCAGAAAGATGTGCGTGCAAAATCAAAATTCCCTCAAGTGAACCTGTAACACATGCTGCATTCAGGCTCTGTAGGACACATGACATTATTTAGACTTGATTTGACGTTCGTTTGAATTTGTTTGGGTTAAAATATTTGGCTTGTTTTGAACACTATGCAAGTGACAGCTTAAAAAAAAAAGAAAAAATGCTTTTTAATTTCACATATTTGCAGCTTGCATGTTAGTAATACATCCACACTACTGTAGTTGTAATTGTAAAGTGATTTATCCTGAATCTGTGACATATGCCAGTGATTATATGATTAGAAGTAATAATATAAAACCCTGTTTTTTGTAGACCTGACCAGACCTCTCTTTGTCCAGATCCAGATCAAGAGCTGGATTCAGAATCGATGTCAAAGTCCCGAAGAGGGATTGGGGAGAAACTGGTGGAGGAGTACAGAAACTGTCAACACTTCAAAGAGACCAAAGCAGAGCTGGGTGGGTACCAAAAGAAGGCTTCAGTGTTTATTGATTTTTAATGTTTGTATCTGAAACTGTTACAAAAATATGTTGGGTGACGATAAACAAACCTAGATGGCTACAAAAAAGGTATAGTGAGTACAAATTGGTCAAAAATTCTCCAAATAATTGAATCCCAATGTAAATGAACCACAAAGAGATAATGAATGACTACATTGTCTCAAACTGATGTTGTCTTTATTTTGGTTTTACTGTGAAACTTTGCTGTCCTGTCTTCACAGGACATGTTAATGACTTTAAATGTGAACAGAACACATTAGTTCATACAGACATGAGCATTTGTTTAAATGTAAATTAATTCAAACCGTTGCCACCTTCTGTCTGTCTCAGAGAGGATCGTCCAGGGAAAGAAGGTGGTCACTACTACTCCCTTCAGAACCATCACCTACACCACCGGCTTCTTCACGCAGTTCAGATGGGTTCTCAAGAGGACATTTCGCAACCTCATACTCAACCCGCAGACCTCCATCGCCCAGGTAAGTCTGTGTAAAGTTCACTTTATTTATTCACTTATTTAAAAGAAGAACTGTCCAGTTTGGGGAATGTGTAGCTTCACTGTCTAAGAGGGAAGTAATAAGATCAATATCAATACAGGATTAGTTCATTTATATTGATAAACGTTTGTTACCATAGTGACATTGTGCTGACACAAAGCAGATCTTTGCAAGCTACAATAACTATGTCGCTACTATAATATCACTATGATTCAGAAGCCACCTTAAAGTAATCCTTTTCTCTAGGTCTTCATCAGTCTCTCACATTGTTGTGGGGGTACTTTGTAGTATGTTGGCAGGCATTCGTTTACTTACAAGGTAACACAAAGTAACACAAGGGAGGACAACCAGTACTACATGAACAAATACAAACATTAACTGAGGGATGCCAGGGAACACAACTGAAAATAATCAGGGAAAACAAGACAGAGGAAGAAAAACTGAGCACAAGGCATGTGAGACGAACGACTATGACAAAAAAATTAAGTAAAACCAACAGACGGAAATATGACAGAACACGGGGAACACAGGGGAAGGCTGATAACTGAAACCTGAAATTAGATATAAAAACTCAAGAACAATCCCAGATAACCATGATATTAAGAACAAATGGTAAAATACAGATTATCACTACAGGAGAAAGTCTTTATACTTGAGTATAAAATAAACAATTCAAAAAGTCCAAACATAAGACGCTTTCAGGGCAAGGCAAGATTTAGCTATAGGATAGATGGCCACACATTTGACACTACAGTACTTTGGTATGGCTGTCAGTCCTGTGGCTGTGAAGAGAAAAGCAGCCCTCAGTTGTCTTTTTCAATTCACTTTTACTTTTATAGTGTCAAATCACAACAACCGTCACTTTACATTGTACGGTAAAGGACCTAGAATAATGCAGAGACATCAATTCATCACCCCTCTACCACCATCACTGCACAGTCTGGGACTGACACTGTTGTGAATACTGTGGCATTGTGTTAATGCATATCTGACGTCTCCAGAACAGACAACATATATAACAAGACTTCTAATCAAGTGCATTTGATTAGCAGCTTGTGGGTGATGTTTGTCCTCTTAGTCCTATGGAAGCAGTAAGGGGGCACTTGGTCTTTTACATGACTACATATTTATCTGAAAGTTTTCTTTTTTTTCTCTTCACTGTTATTTTGCCTGCTGTTGAATTTACTCTGGGCTTTTCTGTGGTCACTGCATCACCGCTCATCTCTTCCTGTGTGCACGTGTCATCAGTCAGTGGGAGTTTAGCAGGAGCAGCACCTGGTGTCAATAACTGAAACTGCATCATCAGATCATTTTAAGGAGTTTGGGAAACACACTACCTCCCTGCCTCAAACTCAAGGAATAATGAACTTGCATTGATAACTGTGATAAGTGGTTATAAGTGTCTTTTTAAAAAAAAATCTGTTTAGGTAGCAGTGACAATCCTCCTCGCTCTGGTTGTCGGAGCCCTTTTCTTCAATGTCCAGAATGATTCGAGTGGGATTCAGAACAGGTATTTACTGTAGTACTTTTGTCTTTGTCACATTTGAAAGACAAATGATAAAGATGAACCTGGGATGTGAGATTATTGATGGTGTGGTTGTGTGTCCAGGACTGGTGCGCTGTTCTTCATCGTCGTGAATCAGTGTTTCGGCTCCCTGTCGGCTGCTGAACTCTTCATCGCAGAAAGGAAAATCTTCATGTGGGTCTCACACTCAAGGAACTTTTTTAATTCACTTTGGGGTGAAATGTTTTCATTATATGAGGGTAAAATTCACTCATTCATTCATGTTGAGAATTCATTCATCTTTGCTTTCTTTAAAGATGTGTTCATGAAGTGAAATTGTTGGGACTTGCTTATCATCCAGGGGCCCGAGTCGGTATTCTTTGCAGGAAATGCACATCTTTACTTTCTGTTTTAGTCAGATCAATATGTTCTCCTCTCATTGCCTTCTTCTTTCACAAAATGTAATATTTTAGGTTTAGCCAAAAAAAGAGAAATTGTAATACACACATTCTTTCAGTGCCTTTTTATATCATAATGACAACTATCATCTACTTATTAAAAACACATTATATTTAATGTTTTTTTTCAATTAATAAGGATCAGTAGGATTATTAAGAAGCATTTTAAAAATGGAAAGTTTATGCATTTCCAATCATTTTGTTTTTTTGACATTTGACATTTTTATGCTGATTTTCTTTCTTGCTAATTCAGATTAAATGCTTCTGACAACTTTATTAGTTAAAGGTCTGCAGCAATGGCACTCACCTCTATTTATCATTATGTTTTCACAGATGCTGTTTTTAACACAACGTTTCCTGTATGTCTTCCTCTCTCTCTGCAGTCATGAGTATATCAGCGGTTACTACAGGGTATCGGTCTACTTCCTGTGTAAGATCCTGTCTGACATCATCACGCTGAGGACCATCCCCGCTATCGTCTTCACCTGTGTGGCATACTTCATGGTTGGTAGGTGGAAGACAAGTTGTGCTATCCTGGTGTTTATTCTTTAATTGTATGCAGAGTAGAGCGGATGTGATTGGTAAACCGATGTGTCAGTGTTTCTAATGGTCTGTGTTATGAATGTTGATCTTGATCTGTTTATCCTTTGCATATGTGAAGGAAAAACTGTTAGACTCTGAGATTTTTATATCACAGAAATCAAGGCAAAAAACATATAAAGACGAGGTTGTTTTACACATCAGAGGTTTGTTAGGATTTGTATCATGTGCCGTGTGTGCATCTTTGTTACTATTTATAACCCTGGCACTCTGATTTGTGATTTCGTCTGTGTATGTACAGGTCTGAAGCCGACAGCTGGGGCTGTCTTCTTCTACATGCTCACCGTCGCTCTGTGTGCCTACACCGCCACCTCCATGGCTTTCGCCATCTCTGCTGACCAGACAGTGGTGGCCATCGCTAACATCTTTATGACGATCTCCTGCGTCTTCATGATGGTGATGCACACACATCAGCATACACCTGTGCAAACATTAGTGCATACACACCCAGAGCCTGCATATATGAAGATGGCTGCAGCTTCTGGCTCTGAAAAGATAAGCCAATGTGAAGGTCTCCTAGACCTGCATTTTTTTCTAATGGACAGCAGGGGGCGACGACTCTGTCTGATTGTACAGAAGGTTATGGAAAAGTGACCCTACTTTTGACGTGATTCATGACCCGATAGGTTTGTTTATTGTTTCATGTGAGTCACAAGTGTCCTTCGACTTCACAGGCTGACTAGCCCCATACTTGTTTATTTTTTATTTAAGCTTTATTTGACCCGAAAGTCCCTTTAAATAAAAAAACAAAACAAAAAACCCCAACTCTTTTTACAGCAGGCAAGGAAGAGCGGGCAAAGAAGGCACACTATTACAAAATTACAAATGTAACATAAAATCAAATACAAAATGAATACACACAACTCCATAAGACTCCAAAAGTAAAGAGGAAGGCATAAAAGTGGTCAGCTCAAGGCTTTACTAATCAGTTGAAGACATAATAAATGAATCACGTATTAAATAATAATGGCTTAGTCAATAAGTCCATCAAAAAGTGCAGAATGCAAACTGTGTTTATAACACAGGTAATGGTAATCTCCATCAAAATCCTGCAAACACTTGCATAACCATGATGGGACTGTGCTTGCAAGCATGCACCGGGGTATATTTTCCCTTTTCTGGTTCCACCTTAACATCAGGCTGAGATTCTGACGCACGTTTACAGCAAACTGAATGAAAGCAAATCTCATAATGTCCAGTCATTTGATTATAAAAATATGAATTTACATCAATTTATGAGGAACTCGCTTAGAAAAAACTGACAGTGAGAAGTTAAATATCAGCTTTAGAGAAGTTATAGCTAACACCTTTAATCTTCATGATGGTCAGACAGGTAATGTTAATGTTATTGAAGTTAGACAGAATTTCATAAAGGAATGTATTCCTGTGACATGTAAGACTGACTTAGTTTTATTTCTGGCAGAGGTAAAAGTCTGGGAGCAAGAAAAGAACAGCTATAAAAACACAAATCAATATTTCAACAAATTTTATAAAAGGTCAACAAGTTCAAGGCCTATGTGCTCTGTTTGATCTGTAAAAGGCGGAGAGATCAATACCATGGTTTTGAAATTGGTACTCATCAGGGAAGCGAAAAACCTCTGTAGATGTGGGATCTTCTATGCATACAGGCAGAAAGAAATGAAAACTGAAGGCTAAACCTGAAGTTACCACACAAAGCCTCGCCACTCGCCTCATCTGCTATGTTTCCTTTTCTCCAGATCTTTGCAGGACTGCTAGTGAACATCCCCTCCATCGCCAGCTGGCTCGCGTGGTTAAAGTACTTAAGTATACCCAGATATGGCCTCAGTGTAAGTTCAAACACTGGCAATTACATCTATTTTTAACAGTTTTATTATATCTGCAGCAATTTTATAATCACTTAGAAATCTTCCCTTCCCTTAAGTTAGGCCTGTAACCGACTAAACTGTTAAACTTACTTTAGTTACTTACACCATATTTGAGCTCAGTTGGGCTACACCATGATACACAACATTGCAACATTGTTTTATTAACTAATCATACTTTTTATTCTATTTTATAATGTTTCTCTCTTTTTAGGATCTTTTATCTGGCCGTCTTTATTTACATAAAGTTTTACTGCTTATTTATTTTTTTCCCTGTTGGTTCTTCTCCTGTGGTGCTTACAAGCTATTTTTTTTCTCTTTGACATTTTGTTATTACTTTCAAAATGCATCATTGCATTTAGTTTGTATTGCATTTGGCTCTACCTTTCCTAAAACAACCCCAAAGATGATTTGTGTCTCCAGCTGAAAGGGCGCTATATAGATAAAGTTTGATTGATTGATGTGCTGATTATCAGTTATAAGGTAAGATCAGCTTTTAGAAATAAACCATGATAGTATATGAAGGCATTTGCAAAGATTTAGAAAACCTTTTGACTTGCTGTAGATTTTCACTCCTGTGCAATAATGCTAGCATCACTTTACCTGGAAGAACATTTTATTTTAAAAAAAAAGCAGTTCTTCAGTAGTTTTTACATTTTCCACATGCATACTGTGAGCAGGGTTGGTACTCTGGGTTTAAAAAAACTTTTTCTTCAGATGAAACTCTTGTTGAGTGATGTTTGTTGATTTGTCTGTGAATCTCTCCAGGCTCTGCAGGCTAATGAGTTCACCGGGCTGACATTCTGTGAGAAAATGAATACCACTCTCGACCAACAATAGTAAGCAGCACTGAGACACATGCAAGTTAACATGAAGTGATGAGGTTCACTGTGGGTTCCTAAATGAGATAGAAACAGGCTCATCTGTGAGCACAAAGCCCATAACTACCAAAATAATGCAAAATGTTTAAAAAACAAATTTGTGCTGCAATCAAAATTCAAAATATAAATTTAGAGAATGGGATTAAAAAGGGATTAAAGTTATTAACACAACAGATACATCTAAAATTAAGCCTTAACACAATTCAAGTCCCTTAGAGATGTTGTTTAAATGGATACTAGGCAAAAACATCTTTTGTATCAGGCTGTAAACATGTTTATTTCTGCAATGAAGTTGGACATTTTTACATCAGTCTGTGGGGACTGACTCGTTTATAAAGCCAGTCTCAAGTGGTCATTAGAGGAACTGCAGTTCTGGTGTACCATGAGCAAATTTCTTCTGTAAAGTTGGGAGTCTCTGGGGAATGACTCACCTCTAGTGATATCAGAGCAACTGCAGCTTTTGGTATCTCAGCATATCTCAGCATTTATTTTGTTTTTGAGGAACTTTTGTGCTCTGTTTCCAGCTGTTACTCTGGGGAGAAGGTTCTGGAGGAGCAGGGCGTCGAATACTCCCTCTGGGGAATGTGGCAGAACCACTTGGCCTTGTTTATCATGACGATCTGCTTCCTCATCATAACTTACCTGAAACTGCGCTTCATCAAGAAGTTCACCTAAACACCGCTGACTCCTGACTGTTGGTCGTGGATGTTTTAGTGTTATTTGTTCTTCTCAAGTTCAGGTCTAGTTTTCACGTCATTTATTCAGGTTATTCAGTTTATAAATACAGATCTATAATATTGATTTTTTTTCCTTTCTTTTTTTCTTTTTGTAAATTTTTTATAAAGATTGTTATAAAAACTGATTGTTTGATCACCCCTTATTAACAATGTCATTGCCTCATCAGCTGTATCATAATTTTTGCACTTTAAAGTTCAGCATCACAAATACAAGAATTTCATATTTATAAACTTTGAATTTACATTACGTGTCTGTTTTGCTCATTTTTAAATTTTACAGTGTCAGCAGCAACATTTAGCTGTAAATGTTTGCCTGTAAAAAAAAAATCATACATGAGCTTTGAACCAATTCCTCCTACTGTACCTTCAAAGTTATTATAATTCATTCTGATGGACTCATGAAACAAGTGTTAAACCAGTCAGCTGTAGCAAAAACATTTCAGTCAAAACCCATTGATGGTGGTGCTGGGGGAACTAAGCAACAGGCAGGGACACAAGCCATTTTATTAGGTGCAGTCATACAGCTGCTCAGGTCAAGATTCTTCAAACTGAGCATCAGAATGGAAAGAAATAGGATTTAAGTGACATTGAAAGTGGTGTAGTTGTTTATGCCAGACGGACTGGTCTGATTATTTTAGGAACTGCTGATCTGGGATTTCCCCACGCAAGTATTTACAAGTCTTACTACGAAGCCCCGCAAGGGACATGGAAGAAAAAAAATTACGATGAACTTTTGCGAGATCAAGAAAACCAACTCGGGATCTCGCAAAAGTTGAATCCCAACAATGGCGGCAGCTACTTAGTTGTAATATTACTCTTTCTGGGTCACAAAATAAACTTTTAAGATATTTTGAGGCGTGAATGTAGTTGTGTAAAC